TTAAATCGGGAGAGTTTGTAACCTTATAACAAATGACTTTCAGATGCACAAGATTGTTGCCTTTTCATTATCAGGTCTGAGTAAATTCGAAACACCGATTTTGACATGTACACCTAAAGCAATTGCCTAATATTAGCACGTGGGAGTTCAAATGTATCAGAAATGCAACAATCTTGTATGAAAACATTAGAAAATTTGATAAATTATCCTTTTACAAAGACTAGAACAACGTGGCACGTTAACACAAAAACAATACTGACAGACGATTTTAAAACTTACTATAATAATTAATGGCAGCAGTGGAGGTTTTCTTCAACCATTTTAATAATTGGTAGACAATGTGTTAATGGTTTGTATAGTGCTATAGTTTTTATAGACGTATAACAAACAGTCCCAGTACAATTCAAAGCATTCATTTTTGTTTGTTTTTTACAAAGTGGAAACCATTCGCACATACTTTGAGACTTCATATAATAAATTAAAAGTCCAGTAAAAAGTTGTCTAGTAACAGAAAACACAAAAACAAATCAACAGTTAACAGTGAATTTATTTTAATTCTGAGACTTAGCATATGACACTGAAAGAGGGCAAGGCGGAAGGCTGTAGAAAAAGAATTCCGCCGCTGATAAAATGAGTCGCATATGTCTAGCAGTGCAGTGATTGTGTGAGGAAGGCACAGGACAGATGGGAATGGCTAATGTTGACACTTATTCTGGGTGGAGCTGCTACAAGCAGATGATGATAAGTATATTACGAGACAAACCAATAGTGTACTTTGTTGCGGTCATTTCTTTACCTTCCATGACAGACCAATAATATACAGTTTGTTATGATCAGAACTTGATCTGGCAAGGCAGATCAGTAGCATACAATTTTTGTGGTAAGTTCTTTATCAATAGTGAAACAGAACAGACTGAAAGCTATACATATGAATCAAATTTATATAGAAAATACTTATTCATATCAAAAATGTTTTTCTAAATTCTTTACCAGCATCGTGTAGCTGCTCGTTTACTAAGTTATCGTGGTTCTTGTGCTGCTAAATCATTGACTAAGTCACTGCAGTCCTAAACTTCTGGAAACATTATTTTCAATGAAAATCAGTACCAACCCTGTCAGTCAGTCTTGACTCGTACAGGATCAACAAGGTTTCCAAATAATCCACACGCCCAAACACCATCCTATTGAATTCCTAAGCGAAAAACCAACCACTCAAAGTATTGGTTACGATATATTTATGCGCATATATACTAATTATACGCTAAAAAGGTCGCTAAAATTTCCAGTGTAACAATTCAAAAATTGCTAAAACAGTAAATTTCTTGTCTACTGTTTATCTGATCACGTCAGCGGGGCTAGTCACAACACGGCTCGGACTATTGCTACAATAGTTCTCCAGCTTACTTGACTGATCTGTGGGTATCCGCTTTTAATATTCCAATAAATATATACAGATGTTGTATAAATGATAAACATATCATGCACGTACTTAAATATATTTTAAACCCAACAGATGGCGCTACATTATTGATCGATAGACACGGAACAGTTTCTAAAAGTAAAGTATATACTTTATACAGGTATAACATAAAAAGTAAACAAACAAAAGTATTAAAAGAATATGAATTTAAAAATGAAGTAAGAATCCTGCTACAAAAAGCAATGAAACAATAATTCAAACCACAATCACAAATTTACAAAATTTACTCTCTACTTTGGCAGATTTATACACTTATCTGTAGACCAAAATAAGGATTAAATTTTATAAACTTGTGATTGTGGTTTTAATTCTTGTAAACACTATAGCACTCAGGGATATGGCTATACTGAAAGTTTATAGATATTTTGTCCATTCCATAGGGAAAAAAATAACGGAAAGTAGGGATCATTGGTTATTTGTAGAATTGCTGTAAGAAGTATCCAAAAAAAAAAATGCTGCAATAAAAAGCACAAACAAGTAAACTGATACTAGTTGGATAGATTTTAAAACGATTTTCCATCGCTACTTTGGTTGACATTGTGATCTGTATAGCTAAATGAAGCAGTCTAAATTTGCCAACTGCTTTGTGTTCAGACTACTTATTCCTTAACATTAAATAAGCCACTAAAAATCCAGCATTGTCTCCTAATTCCATATCTTGATTGAATCTTCTATTTGGCGGGCTTATCTAATATATAGCTTCAAAGTATTTCAAAAGCTAACAAAATTAGTGACATCATTCATAGTTTTGGCTTATGTGTTTAAAACATACTAATTATTAATTGCAGTAAGTTCTTCATTTTATATCATGAGCATTACATTGTTTCTTCTCATCGTTTGTTACATCTCTCAAATTTTCTCACGCACTTCAATTTCCCAGCAGTTCACCATATTGACGAAACTTCTTTATCAAGAGACAGAATGATAATCCAATTTTAACATAGCAAAATATGCATTATCAATAGAGACAAGGGATATAACTAATACTAGTCTTACTCTTCTATGTTGTTGTATACTCTAACATTGTCCTAGCATCACTGGTGTTTCATGCTCTTGAGGAGTGTCAGACACTAGCTAAATGTAGAGCAGAAGACTCAAATATGTTTTCGCACTAGCCACTCTCTGTATGTAGGTCAGGTTGTACCATGCCTTAAAAATGTTTTTTTCTTATTCTACAAGCTTACCGATAAGATTTTGTTTGTTTCTTATTAGTTAAGCACAAAGCTACACAGCGAGTTATCTGTGATAATGTAGCCACCACGGATATCGAACCTCGACTTTTAGCATTATAAATCCGCAGACTTACCCCTGAGCACAGGGGGGCTATTGCTAAGAAGCAGAAGCGTGTTACTATACACAGTTCTTATCAATTTTGTATGATATTAAATGTTTTATTGTGCAGCTAATTCTGTGTATCAATAATATTTCCAATGAATCACTTGATTGTATTAATAGCTTTTTAATTGTATATATATATATGACTGACAATCGCGCTGATTATGTATGCCTATTTTATAAGCTTCAATAAAAATATTCAATCTAACATGAATAATACCTGACGAATTTCTTTGGATGTCTGCTGCAAATAGTTTTAAGTCCCTGGGTAAAGCATATTTTCCTGGTTATGATTTTACAGGATTTATAGTACGAGTCAAACGTGTTAAGCCTAAAATCAAGAGTCGATCGTACAGAAATTAATGGCTGTTCTGATCATCACAATATTCGACAAACGATAAAAATCACAAAAATTTCCTTTTAACAATATTTTAGTATTAAAATATTCGAACAAACATTGAAAGTTTGTGCTTATCCGTTCACCTCTTGAAAAGAAATCTTTATTTGAAAATGTGTTCTTCTTCCCGTTGTGTCCAGATTTTGGTGAACGTCCATTGTCCTTTGCAAAGTTACCTATAGGAGACCTATGTTCAATGCTAACCTAGACAATATGCACTGGGATAATGACCAAAAGCCAAGTTTACCCTAGTCTCAGTTTCAAATGCAAGGTTGAAAGGTGTGATGTTTGCAAACGTTGTTGATGCTTCTGTTGAAGCATTCAGAAAGAGAGGTTGTTCAAAAATGTTGGAATCCAATCAACAGAGGACAAAAACCCGTGAAGCAGAAAGAACAGTAAGAATAATATACATTGTTCTTCTCATTGTAACCACTTTCATTATCTTAGATCGTTCAATGATATGATTTGATCGATCAGACCTCAAACAGCGAAAGTCATAAGAAGTATCTGAAGAATATTTATTGTTGTTTCTACTAAGCACACAGTGTGTCCTATACGATATTGTTGCGTATCTGCTCGTTTGTTAATTCCTTTCGAGGAACTTGAACGATACAAGTCCTTTCTTAATTAGATATAGTTTATTCTTTCTCGATACAACTTTATAATACACAGAATTTCCACAAACAATATGTTTGCAATCTCGATAACAAAACACACACTTTATATTACTGCCACTACCGCTCGCTTGACTCAATTATATGTCTCTATATCTCTCTTCAATCTGCTAATTATCTATGCCGTCACTTCCCCCCTCCGCTTTATTTGCCGGGCTTATATATACAAAAATAGAGGGCGTCTGGCAAACACTCGAGCATTCACGATCCTTCTAGAACCTCATCACGTGTTACCAGCGTCACGTGACTTCCGCTGTCGTTACAATATGAACATGTTGAAACTATTCTTACAGTGAAAGAAGCAAAATGGAATGTCCCTGAAGACAAGTAACCTTGCTTTGGGAAGAATTTTCATCACGCCAAAACATCATTTTGAGTTTCGTTGCATATCTTGAAAGAAGAGATCGAACCCTAAACGTGTGCAAAGTTTTATACGAGAAATTCGTCTAGCGAATTTTCTCTTCTTCAAAGTTGCCACCAAAATCAATTTACTTACGATCGACTTATGATTTTATGATTAAAACATTTATCATTAAGTGTACATGGCCACTGAAGCGTGAACAGTATACAAATGTTAATTTATTTCATACGTCGATATGATCTCATATCAAAACGAAAGGGGGGAGGGTATTCCTAACAGCAAGCTATAAACTTGTGCACAGTTAAAATAGGTGGATTACAAATGCTATCAAACCAGCCGCAAGGTGGCGAGATTAAAACTTCATCATATTAGTAGAGATAGTGAGTAGGCCTGTCTTAGCGATATCGGGTCTTTGACGCATTTACAGGCATTATCTATTAGGGCAAAATATAACTACTTCCTGGTTTAACGTGTCCAGATACTATTTAGTTAAGCTCCTTAAAAACAGCTTTTCTGAAATTTCTTAATCCGCTTACTTGTCGTCAGTCGTAGTACGTTTATCAAAGTCCAGAATTTTAGCTATTACCATATCAAGAAAATAATCCAGGAACAATCATTTTCTTTTTATCTCTGTAGGACACATTGAACAACTAATAACTACGAGACATTTGAAGACACACTAAAAGCTACCAAATATACATATATATATATTGCGAGAGCTTTTGATGAAATAGTAATATTCTGATTATAACATAATGAAGGATGAAATTTCTACTTCCTACTGACAAGAAATTTTCGTCCTCATGAGATGTCAGGGTTTTAACTCGTGTTTTCTACTAAATACAGATGCTGTACTTAACAACATGCGTACGTTAAAAAACAAAAAAAGAGACATTTCACAATGTTACCACAAATTACATTTGACGTAGTTTCAAAGTTTCAAACAAAAGATAATCACGAATGCAGGTTATGCCACATAGCTATGGATTTTCTAGGGTTATGCAACATATCTTCCCAGTGAGACATTCCTTTACCACTTTCATTTTCACCCAAACTACAGGCACCCAAATGTAGAGAATTACCATGATGACCCTTGGCAACATTCACCATAAGGTTACACTGTTTCAAGTCCTCTTCCAATATATCAAAACTTAACGCTTCGTTCCACACTGGGTTTCTAGATCCTTTTTTGGTCGTTTTCTTCTTTTTCATCCTTTTATCTCCGTATGTAAGACAAACTTTCACGTAAGAATCTTGAATAAGGAAAAACAAAATAAAACAAACATCAATCAGTTCCAGTCATATGCAATATTTCGTTACACTTATTACTATGTTTACGATGAATCAACCTTCAGGTCATTCAACATAAAAAAATTACGCCTTTTTTTTTTCTGTCGTCGCTTATGACGTAATTTTACTTCTCTTTTTTGCTCACAAAATTGTTGCACGAACCGGATATAATTTTTAATTTCTAACAATTATTTGTTTAATTTACTGAATACACTTAGAAAAATGACAAGTCTTATATATCATTTTTTTTAAATGTTGAATTTCGAGGGCTATCTACGCTACCGTCCCTAACTTTGAAATGATAGAAAAGAGGGAAGGCAGGTAGTCTACACCACCCACTGCCAACTCTTGAGCTATTCTTTACCAAAGAATAGTGGGATTGATCGTTATTTTATAACGCCCCCGCCGCTGAAAGGGCGAGCATGTTCGGTGACAGGATTTGGAAAACGTAACTTTGAAATTGCTAGAAAACGCTCAAGATATCGATTTAAAACCATTATGTATTGTATACTTGCACATCTTGGCTACTACCGAATTTAAACAAATATTCTTTTCATAACGATATGTACCATAATTTATAGGCGGGAACATTCATGCCGCTTCTACTCAACACTAGTCTTATCCTGTAACACTTTTGAAACTGTTATTATAAACGTGGACACTGGAACTCGAGAAATGTTACGAGGAGTATATAAGCTTTTTGAGTATTGGTTCTCACTATATGGTAGTGTGTTGTTAAGTATGTAAATACTTTCAAATAAATCAACTATAATAAAGTTTATAATTTCTTCAGTTGCAGTATAAAGGTATTAATTAGTGTGTTACAAAACAGCTAAAATAAGCACGATTGAGTGTTTATCTTTTTAGAGCTCGGCATGGCCAGGAGCTTAGGGCGCTCGACTCGGAATCTGCGGGTTCGAATTCCCGTCACACCAAAAATGCTCGCCCTTTCAGCCGTGGGGGCGTTATAATGTGACGGTCAATCACATTGGTTGGTAAAAGAGTAGCCCAAGAGTTGGCGGTGGGTGGTGATGACTAGTTGCCTTCCCTCTAGTCTTACACTGCTAAATTAGGGACGGCTAGCGCAGATAGCCCTCGTGCAGCTTTGCGTGAAATTCAAAACAAACAATCTTTTTAGAATATGTGCGCTTAATTTTATAATCACAATAACAAAATTCATCCAAAATAAAATTATAATAATAATGGCTTCTACATGTTTATAGAAGGGTGTGTTTATAATAATATTACAAGGGCAAGTGCCACGGCTTTCAGACCTTTCCCACTACGGACTGTGTTCTGCATCAGTATTTCCCAAAGTGGGAGCCGCAGCCCCCTGGTGGTCTTGAACCTTTTTCTGGGGACCGCCAAAATATAGGCCAAAAACAAAAATGCTGAATTAATTTTTAATTCTAAGTAAACAATAAACCGATAAAAATTATGTTGAATTAAATGATACAGTATGTCGAAAGGAGATGTTACTATTTTTACTACGGCACTGTTATAGGTTGGGGGGCCTCAAACTTTTTTATTCACATCAAGGGAGCCTCAGACTAAAATATTTTGGCCCTCTTTATGGGCTATTCCTCAGCAGTACAATTTTCACCGCAAAAGACTTTTGAACAACTAAGGTCACTCTTCACGTTTTCCAAAATCCACCAGTCGTACGTATAACGAATACTTACAGTGTGTCTGTTTGAGCCACTCAAGACTCTGAAATCCACGGAAGATGACTGCGAATGGTGTATTTTGTTTATTTGTTGTTAAGCGCAAATGGGCTATTCCGTGCTGTACTCACCACGAGTATCGAAACCCAGTTTTTATCGTCGTGAATGATATAGCATGAATTTTTGTTTGTCCTCATCATATTTAATACAGGACGGTGCTTAATTAAGATGTAATTTTATTATTTAAAATTATTGTGTTTTTTTAAGAGATATCGGTTTGAACGCCGAGAATCGCTGAAGTATTACTTTAAATTTCCATGTTTTGAGAGTGTGCAAAATACAAGATCGCTAAATGGTGATTTACCGACTTTCTTGAAAAAGGATAGAATGTGACGTCAAAAAATAGAAAGCTATCTTTCTTGCTGACAAACTGGGAAAGGATCAGTAGCTCCACGCTCTGGAGTTCAACTCCAAGTGTACACAGATCTTTCTAAACATACTTTAAACCATTTTTTAAATGTTTAATCATTAGTAGAATGATAATCAATTGCTTGGACTATTACAGACACTCAAGTTCAACATGACAACATACTCCTGTCTTTCATTTCTTATATACTGCGCATACAGCTTTTGACAGTTGATCTTGAATTGGGCTATGTTCTTCAAGATAAGCACGTGTACTTGGCTCTTGTTTCGCTTTTATAGACGTAAATCAGTGTAAATTAGCTTGTGTAAAGTTCTAGTGGAGGTTACTATTTGAGCTGCAATGGATTGCTATGTTCTCCAGTTATTTCCAATGACAATCTATATAATATTATTCGCTACTTCCGGTGTGCCACTAGTAGTCAGAGGTGGAATAGCCTGTTTTCCGTGATGGAATTATGTCTTCCCTTACTTTATCAATACGGTTAAAATATATGAAATATCCTTTATTTCAAAAGAAATTTCGTGCTTTGCGCGTTTTTATAAGAGCTAATTAAGAGAATGTGGGACGAGAAAGTCTTGTAATATAACCTTCACAGAATATTAAATCTTAAGTATTTGTAGATCGCCGCACTTAAACTGAATTGCAACAAGAGGATCAAGGTTTTCAATCTGTGTACTCTCAAATCACGGGGATGATCAAGGGCAAAATGATTGGATATGCAAATTGTTACCATAATTTGTGAACAATCCTGTGAACCTAAAACATAATAGTATAGTCTATAGTTACTTTGTGCGTTAACAGAAAACTGCGTAAAATCTACTCCCAGTTAGTAACATACTCAGGCAAGTAAAATATTTATAGTGCATGAGGGCATATTTCGGAGTCAAGGAACACAAACCACTTTCAAATTATTACTGGATTCATGAAAAAAGGAAACTAATACCAAAATTTTAAGAACGGTATTAGCAAAAAGAAAAAAAAACATATATGAAGTCTAAGTTGGACGACTGCAAGACCACCATAGCTATGGGTTTGATTTCTAGTCGATCATAAACTGACTTTTTTATAACCTTTATATGGCAGGAAGCTTTCAACAAGCACTTACAGCCTGAAAGTCATTTTATGAGGTAAGAAAGCCTCAGTGCGTTGCATTCTTTTGCCAACATGTGAACACGTTTTCTGAGTTCGTAATTAGGTTTGGTTTTGAAATAGCAATTCTTTTCTTTTTAGTTAACCAAAACATGGAAATTTAAGAAAAAATATAAAATCATGTAATGAATAACTTTATATCACAAATAACGATTGAAAAATTTAAACTACAAACAAACTCAATTATTGGATAACACAATTTGGTTAATCAGTAGCTGACCCCAGCTTTTATTAATTTAATATTGGAACAGTGCTTTTACAAAACATAATAGCCAGTAATTGTTAACAATAGCTTGTTCTTCAAGGTTTTTATTTATTTATTTCTCTGGAAAATGAAGAGGGGAGTATTATGGTAAAAACAGTCTGACATATATTAGTTTCCTGAGCATCAAGCTTTCTATTATGCAGTTCTCCTGGTGAAAAGTAAAGTCTTCATGAAATGAAAGATTTTTGCAGTAGATACAGTGATCGGAGTAATCTCATGTAATGAAAGCGGATATAGTGATCTCATGAAGAGAAATACTTTTGAAAAGAACTCCACTGTATCTTTATAAGAGTCCAGATAAACTTTCTACCCAGAAATTTGGAGCTACTATACCATCCCTCTCTGCTTCAACCCTGAATTTCCAAAATACCCACAATGAGTTTTTTTTACAAGAGATTCAACTGTTTCATTAAGTAAACAGTATTTTCAAAATGTAACGATTTTTTAGATGTAGTTGTAAAATGATGTATCGATAATGATTTTATGTGCTTTTGACCTTTCAAAGAAGATTTGGGAAATATGGGATAAAAAGCTGGTAAGCTGTAACAGCTTACTCGAAACTGAAACAGAATTCACTTTACAGATATTTTAACTTTGTTTTTCCATGGAAAAAACAATAACTAAAAACCATCGCTAACCAAATTCCATAAAAAAAACGGCTACGAGATAGAACGCATAAAATACTTGTGAAATGAGGTTAGAGGAAAAAAAATATTCAATAAAACAATAATTACTTTATAAACAGTTGTTAAGATTAAAATTTTAAGTTCAACTACTAAAACTGAAAACATGGACAAAAACCTGATACAGGCGACGCTTCACCAAGTTAACGATGTTTTTAGCTTTAAGTGTTGGATGGTGTTAAAATTTTAGTCTTAATACACATTCAGGTGCCATTTTTGTACAAAATGTTAAGACTATCGTGCTTTTAACCTAGGGGATAAATTTTATTTCTACAGATTTAATTTTGAAATACAACACTGACCGCTCAAATATAATACATCAAATGCGTTATTATTTTTTGAATGTAAGTGTAAACAACAAATCTATCAACTTGGATATTATATGGCAGGCATTTTAAGCATATCAATAAAGACGTAACATTTTGGCGCCGAATGTATCGTAGTCGAAAATGTAATCTAAATCTATCTCATGAAAAATTTTAAAAATCAAATTCAGCTCTTCAAATTAATAGCAGTTCTCATATAACGTCATTTTACTTTTATTATAACAAGCTACCAGGATTATTACATCTATACGATAATGACAATAATAATAGTGATAAATTACCAGGTACTTCTTTATCTTCTGATGACATCAGGTTTGAAGCTTTTAGTATAACGACATTCAATCGTCCGGCAGAAGGTAAGTAACTGAGCGACAGCAAAATTTCAGGCCTATCTTTAGAGACCTGGCAAGATAGCAGAAAATCGTGAAATAAAATATCAGAAAAATTTAACTAAAAATCAATATTTTATAGACGTACAATGTTTACATTCTGTTTCAGAAATTTCCCAAGAATGTTTTAATCATCGACCGTTTTAAGTGTAATGTAAACAGCTATAATTCAGATTAATACTAGAAATAAACGACTTTATAACACTCAAATGTTTTTTGTATTTAATTAAACTCTCAACGTTTCGCTTTACAGCTTCTTCAGGAGCGTTCAATAAAACACAAACCGAAACTGAACGCTCCTGATAAAGCTGTAAAGCGAAACATTGAGTGTCTAATTAAATAAAAACAGCATTTAAGTGTTATAAGGTCGTTTATTTCTGGAATTAATATGCCTTCTATACACCAATATCCACTACTGATATTAAACAATGAGATATAATTCAAGTTGTAAGGTAAAATCCGCCCTAGCAAACATTCCCGGGGATTTTAATGACTAACTTCATTAATTACTATTCGAAAAATCATGCATAGTACTTTTTTGTTTGTCTGCTTTTTTTCAGAATTTTCCCACATAGCTACATAAGAGATTATATGAACATATTCGTTCCTAATTTTGAACCGATAGACTTGAGGAAATGCAAATAACCAACAGCATAAACTACCAACTATAGGTTACTCTTGTCTAATAGAATAATAGGATTTTAGTGACACTCTTATAGCACACCCACGCCCCCAAGAGGGAAGAGTGTTTTTGCGACAACGGACCGCGAACCGTGAATCCTCGGATTCATAGACTTGGAATTTTAACCATTAAGCCATGCCTGCTCCCAAAGAATATCTAACCCCAAATAAACATTTTACTTATGAATTTATAAGTCAAATATCAAATAGCAATTACCAAAACAAATGTAGTAATAACTCAGGGAAAGAGTTCATAAAACAACATACTAAATTACAAATATAATACAATATTTATAATAAAGTTTTAGGTTTACCTAGAATTCGTACTAGTTACTCAACACCCAGACATATGGCAAGTTATTGTCGTCAACAGGGTTAAAAATAACCCTTTGTCACTTTACCAGTTTAACATATTTCAGTAAGTGTACTCAAATTGAGCAATGAAATAAAATGAAACCTACTTGAATTTAGAAATTACATATATATATGACACTTATTTTTCTAACAATGGGATTTCTGAACAGTGGGATTGACCGTCACGTTATAACGCCCCTACGGCTTAAAGGACGAGTTTTTGGTGACGAGGTTAGATCCCATGACCGGTAGATTGCGATATGAGCGCCCTAATTAGCCACCAGGTCATGCTCGGCCTACATTAGTGTATTACTTTATTTGAATTAAGTGTTTAAAACATTTTTGTTATGGGATGGTACTGTGGAGACTTCTTGACACACCATGATACACAGCACAAGATATGAGGTATTTAGAGTATGTAATAACAGATGCGATTGATGCAATCTATAAGAAGATGATTAGATAATGTTTGACGGATTTAGTCTGCTTGCTAAGTTGAAAGAGATTAAATTCATTTTCAGAAGTCTAAACAGATTAGCAAGTACATTATTATTATTTTTTAATGGGTTATTGAGTATGACCATTTTTGGATTAATTCAATATATTTTAAGAAATTAACTACTAGGTTTTGTGTTTCGTTAATTAATATCCTGATTTGGCAATCTCATGTTGGATGGTAGTTTTGTCAGCACACAAAACGTTACATGAAAATTTCGAATAACCGAAAGTTTTTTATTTTTTATTTTCTTGGATTAAAGAAGCCAGCAAAGGCAGTGTATACGAGAATTACTCAGAGTGTTCTTGATGAAAGACTTGAAAGTTATACCCTGATAGCGAAGGGAAGATAATAGAGATTGATAAACTCAACATGTTGAATAAACATTGTAAGCATACAATCATTCACGTTATAAAATAAGCTATGTTAATGTTCCATTTATCGGGTATGTTTTCGACTTTACTTTATACGTGATCCGATGCTAAAACTTTCTAAATAATGTCTGGTTACAATTATTGTGATACTTGTGAAATAGTGACATGTTATGGCTGTGGTCACACCAGCAAAACATAAAACTCCAGGTCTTAATAACTCAAAATCATTGTTACGTTTCCTCCATTATTCATACCTTAATATAACGTTTGATTTCGGACATACTACGATGAAACCAGCTTAAACATTAGCGTGGATCTAATGTATTGTATCTACAGATATATCTCATGAATCTAGTGTATTGTGTCAATAGACACATCTTGTATATCTAATGTACTGTGTCAATAAAAACTTCTCGTAGATCTAGTGTACTGAGATAATACACTCAGCTCATAGATTTAGTGAACTTTATCAATAAATACATCTCACAAATCTAGAGTACTGTGTCAATAGACACATCTTATAGATCTAATATACTGTGTCAATAGATACATTGTGGTATGCAGCTATACCATGTGTTTGATACTTCCTTGTTTTAATGTAGAATTTTTCACAATTGTTCATTATTCAGGTGTATGTGAGATTCTCATGTAACATCTTGTAAAGAAAGTCGTTAAGTTCCTTTCACTTTGGCTACTTATCCTTTTATGTCATCCACCTTTGTTCACCAGTGGGAAAAGTTTCAGTAAGGTTAACTCTACTATATGTATGCGCAGACAGCAACCTTTTACACTGGTCGGTCAGATGATGTCTAGAAACTACAACGTCCCTTATTTTATAGTGGGAATGACCAGCAATCACGTGGATAACTAACGCAAGAAAGACTATGTTGATAAATTGTTCCTTACTGCATCTGTGGAGATTCTGTTCCAGACTGAATAAATCTCACGCTGCTTAATTAACTTGTTAAAGTCAGACATACCCACAGCAACTAGCACTTTTAACGTGACTGGTTATACCAATGAAACATAAGAGAGGTCATAACCTCAAGATATCATGTGGTTGCCAACTTTAATCAGAACCAGATGTAATATTTCCACGTTAGTAACATGTGGCAAATAAGGCCTTGCTTTGTTCCAGATGTAACATTCCTGTTATTTTAACATATTATAGACAAAGCTTTATTCCATTACAGAAGTAACATTCACATAATGATAACAGTAACAGACGACAAATAAGATCTTTCTTTGTTCCAGATGTAACATTCCTGCTATTCTAATGCTCGGCAGGCAAAGTTTTATTCCGCTACTGAGGAATAATTTCCATTTTTATAGCACAAAACAGACAACGTCTTACTCTGTTAAAAGTAACATTTCAGATACTTAAAGGGTTTGTGTTTTCTTACAGAACAATAATTAGGTCCTTTCAGCTACAAACCTTCTTTTTTTTGCTAATCTTAATATGATGATATTTAGGGTTTGCGGCTCTTGAACAAATTGATTTTCTCATTTAACTATGTTCATGGTTATGGTTGTATTCAGATAATGAAGTAATATTGTATTTTCTTATATTGGCCAGGTGCAGCCTATTGATTACCTTTCGAGACTGTGGATCCAAGGGCTAGCTTGTGAGTTTCAAACATGGCATCTCCCTTGAATTAATATAGGATAAAACTTAACTGTCTGGTTTAACGCAGCGAAAATAGATAGGGACATTACTCAATACAGAAGTATGAGTTTCAGTATTATAGGGTATAAATGAATTACTTGCAAATAGCATAATGGGGTTCAGAAGGAAGAATTCGATCTTGTGTCTAATTTCCTGTGGGTGAACATAAAAGTAAAGTTATATTCAGTTCTTTCTTTCAAATAAATGTCATTAATAGTACTGATTATAATGTTTAATATATATATGTATATATTGTATTTTTCATACTTATGAAGATGATTTTGTATTGTTAGCTTATTATATGGATTTAAGTCTAATCTACAACCACCTAAACAGGATGAACCTTTTCTAATCATCATAAGTTTTTGTTTTCTTATGTTTTGCTTTATTAGACCGGTATATATAATTAGCTACATTATTTACATTTACTAAGTTATTTTTTAGTTCTGATCTATGCAGTTAGCTTGTTTGTAACGTAGCACACCTCCGTACAGGAAGTAACAACTATAATAGGAGAATACATTAGGAACTTATCTGGGGGATGGGTATGGTGTTGAAAAGTGCTAGCAACATATTCAAGATTATTATAGTCATGTCAAAATAACATTTTCTGAAATTAAAAAGGTAAAAAAAACAACAACTTAAATTGTCAAGACAAGTAACAATGACTGATAAATAAGGATTTTCAACAATGTTATTTCAAAGAGAAGAACTAATTTTATTCAATTACACTAAAGTTTTAAATATTGTATTCATTACAATAGAAGCCAGCTATACAACTGCACATCATAGTGCTAAAATACTAATAGTCAATGAACGCTCTCTCAACGATGGGCAACGTGACAGTATATATATATATATATATATATATGTCTAACTTTTTCAATGTATTTACCATACGCTATAGGTCTACATCTAAATCATCTGTAGTATCAGACTCGTTTTGTTCCACACTGCCAATGTTATGAGGATTATAACAGTCCTCATCACCAGTATATACCACCTGTTTGCATCCATGCTTTGTTTGGAACACCAGCAGTTGTGCTTACACTTAGCATTTTTACATCTTTTTGTAACGAGTTCTGGGAAGGCTACAGGATCAGTTTCCTTTTATATTAGTGTTGAAGAAAGGTATCCTCCCTTGTCATGATACAAGCCACTTCCAATTGGTGACGGAATGTCAGATTAAACCTTTATGGCTTGGTTCCAGATGAAGTTCTGGTAAGTTGCATGTTTGTCATGTTGCAGAAGACTATTGCATGTTGAGGAGAGCTTCATTCTGGGACTGTTTGCGACAGAAAAGCTTATATCACCACCATTTACATCCACTGAATCACCAGTTGAGTTACAAAGAAAGGTTATCAGAAGTTCTACTTATTTCAACTGTGCAGAAGATATATCCACTGCAGTACCAAAATTCGTATAGCTTCTATATTTTTGTGGATTCTTCCTGACAAGCTGACATGGCTTTAATTTGCCAACACCTGCGAGATTTCTGACTATATCCAGTTAATAAGTGTACTGTTGGCAATATGCTGCTTAATAGTTGTCCAAGTTCAGCTGCTGTGATGTGGGTGGTATAAATCTGGTTTGTTCTTCACATCAAAATGAAACACAACCTCTTAATCTGCTTTCAACTTGTGGATATAATGTAGGTAGAGAGTATTCGTGTGAAGCATGTGCAACATGAAGTATAAGCCAGGTATTATCTTCTTCGTGTGAAGATAATAGATCTTCTTGGTCTAAAACTACATCTGAAATGAATTTTCGATCAATGAAACCATCTTTAAATCCACCTGCAATAATCGTTTTTTGATCTCGGACAAGTAAAGTTTTTGCCATTTCACACACGATTCGGACAGGAATTTACTAGATTTCCTTTATTCTTGCTCCATTGAATTGGGATGTGTATTTTGAACCATGGATTTTGACTTCTTTTTTTTTCTGAGAATTGTCTTCGTGCACGCTCAAATGCTTTTATTGAATCTTTTAGATCATAACAATAAAATACGATATCTACAATTTCACAACACTTAAACTTTGTATAGTCTGGGATATTATTCTAAGAACCAATTCAGTAAGTTCTTTAAAGCTAGTAGCACTTTCTTGCTCGACCATTTGTATAATAGCCACACCATCCACTATCCAAGCTGTGGGCATGTTAGATGTTGGCAGTTGATACATAGACTATGTTTCGTTTTCTAATTTAGCAATAGCATATTTTTTTGCAGTTTTGTTTAGGGTACCATAATAATGTACAAAAGAATATGGAACCGTAGAAAGCTCATGTGTAAAAACTTCCATCAAGTCAATCTCTCTTGTTTGTACAATTACTACAAGACGCCTAAAAATTCTGTCTGCATTGATAGTCAGTCACTGTCTTATCACCACTAACCTTGATCTTCTTGTTTAAGGAAGAAGATGTCTTGATGTTGAGATTGTGCAATGGTTCAAATAATCCAGTGGTACTTGAATTTCGTCTGTCTTCCACGAACTGTTTCTTTGGTTTGATTCGTGATGCTATTCAAATGAAGTGAATTTGTGATGGAGTATATGATGCCATCTACCATCACATCTACATTTCTTTCAACTTGTTGTATACAACATGGTGCAGAATAATTTTGTTTTCATTGTGAAACGTTTGAATCAACAATATCACACATTACCTTCATGGCAGTACTGATAGCCGAGCTCACATATGGACAGTGATGGACCATCTAGACAAGGGTCCTGGATTTAAAGTTAAACCTACTGTACCTCTTTTTACTTTACTATCACAGCTAATTTTTCGTTCAAGTGCCATATCTGTTCAGATTTTGCTGAATTTATTTCTAGACCGAGCCACAGCATGATATCAAAACAAACCTGTATTTTCATATGAATTAAAAAAGCAGCCATATTTCTCAAAGTTACTACTGCATAATACCTATAAGGGTATTACGAATTTTGAATAAAGGAGAGGTTATAAATTTGAGCTCCCATACTAATGAAAAATAAGTAAACCATTAAAATGGTTATCTTAAAATATGCACATAATCCTCACTTCGTCTATCAATGCTTTAATCTGATAGCACAATTTTCAAACTTACCTGTTCCATTTTGATGATGTCACTCCACACTTCAACATCCGTAGTAACGTCAACATTGGACATCTGTACTCTCACTTCACCCGTGACGTCGTTTCGTGAGAATCTATCGTAATCAAATACCTGAAGCAAAAGCACTTTTTCAGGCAACTCTTCGAAAGAGACTGGAATCTTGAAGATTTCATCAAACACTGGATCTATGGAGTTTCTGCGAATATATGTCTGTCTTTGTTTGCTGTCAACCTCTGGTAACAAGATTACTTTGACATAAGGATCGTTGAAACCGTTTTCTGATAGAGATCCCAAATCGTGAGCTGATAAAGAAAAGGGCTGTTTAATTTTTTTTTCATAAGGAGGTTCATAAATTTTGTTTAAAAAAATAAAATGTAAGTTAAGTTATTCCCTACAAAAAATGTGTGTTATCTACTTTTGGTTAGAAAATGGAAATGGAATTAAACAGTTATTTGGAATGATAGTTGGGTGTTCGTTGTAACGTGAAAAGTTTTAAGCTGTATACATTTGTTTACATACCTTTGATTTATATAAAAAATGACGTTAAACTTATCTCTGATATTTTGCATTTGCACTGAGGGGGGCGGATCTAAGATGTTCATGGTAATAACTCTCTGTTCTAGAATATAACCAACAGCCGAGAATCTCTCTAAAACGATTCTAGTTTAATAATAAAAATAATAAAAAAGAATTTGAACTGTGTAATTTTATGATACGACAAAGGAGCTCTGTCTCCGCGTGTCTTGCACGTGAGCCACTATAGCAGTAGTCGTTTTATATAAACATATAAGTGCATTTCTATTATTATTAATGTCATTGTATTTTTTATTTTACAGTTAACTTATTAACCAAAAATATTTGAATCATAATTTGAAGAAGTAGTTTACTTTAATGTAACACACCTGAACCATCATATTTTTCAGGGATAATTCTTGAATGTGTATAATACAACATAAACTTGAAGCTTATTTATACGATGTATCAGTAATAATAATAAAATTATTTCATCACTACGGTATATTAAATAACAATAAAATAAAGCTTGCTAAGAAATGAGTTTGACTCAAAAATGTCTAAAATAAAGTAGTCCCTATGCTAACACTGATGTCCAAATCACTTTGAAAAAGCCCTCAGTAGACCAGAGTTAAGTCTGAGGACTTATAACATTAAAAGTTTCAATACCCGCGGTGGGATGAGCCAGATAGACTATTGTGTAACTTTGTTTTTTAACGACAACCAATCAACCTCTGAATAACAAATGACAAAATTAAGAAGAAAAAAAGCCGATTCTGGGGTTTTGTTATCATTTTGTATATTGTTTTGCAGTTAAGACAACGCTTTTACGCCATTACTGTAAAACCACACAATAGAAATACAGCATCACAAATAGTTAAGGAAACAGGGAATAAAATGTAAATATTGTGAGACTGCTCCCCATCTATTATATGTAAATAAACTGCACTAGAACATATTACGTGTTGATAGATAGTTTACTCTGTGATTGGCTGCTATCCAACCAATCAGACTGTGCTACTTCAACATAATACCCGTAAAAGTACAGACAATATACTATTCGAAGTATTAGTATAATGAGTGCACTCATGATTTCCAGGACAGAAATGCCACGTAAAAACCGCGAAGAAATCAAAGTTTTGATTGGTAGAAGAAATAGATTCAGACAAAACTTCATGTTTCAGTACAAGATGTATAGAAATTCTGAAGAAAGTATGTGAATCTAGTATTATTCATTATAGAAGCGGTCGAAATAGAAAGCCAAAAATATTCAAAAGTGATGTTAAGTGATTTCAAGATATACTCTTTATTTCATGTAGTATACGACAATTCTAGTAGAGATTTTGCCAATAATATGGCTGTAAGGCTGTAAGTATAAGTGTGAATGTTACCTTTAGAACTATGATACACATTAGCACAGAGTGGCCTCACTACATGTGTAACTGCTCAACAACCGCCGCTTAGGAGAGGTAACCAAACCAAAACTCTAAAATGGGCCTCAGACTTCAAAAACAGAAATAAACAAAGCTGGAGGAGGGTGTTCTTTACAGATGAATTCCAAATTCAAGTTGTTTGGCAACAAGGAGTGATAGATTTTTTTTTGGATGGAAAAACGGTATCACATTCAACGTACGACATCTACGTATAGTGAAGCATGCTGGTGATCAATACAAGCATAAGCTACATCTCAGCCAATGGTGTTGAAAATCTTCACAAAATTCATAGTACTCTGACTGCTGAAAGGTACAGGCACATTCTTATCCATCATGCCATTCTCTTAGAAACAATACCTGTTGGCAGGGATTCATCTCTTAGCAAGACAGAGTGGTCATAAGCATGCAGCAAGTGTGGTGAAGCGATACCTGTGTGTTTCCATAATTATATCAAATGATGTATGTGTAAGTGGAAAAACCTCGTATATAGTCATTTAAAAGTTTAAATTGCTTTCGCTACTTTAAAAAAGTATATATATATATATATATATATATATATATTTTTTTAAAAAAGCGAAAGAAATATAAATTTTTAAATGACTATATACGAGGTTTTTCCACTTACACATACATCATTTGATATAATTATGGAAACACACAGGTATCGCTTCACCACACTTGCTGCATGCTTATGACCACTCTGTCTTGCTAAGAGATGGAACCCCACCAACAGGCATTGTTTCTAAGAGAATGGCGTG